GGAGGGAGGGGCGGCGGCCCCCGCAGCAACTGCTGTGGACGCTGAAGGTGAGCAGTGCGGGGCTTGCGTGGGCCTGCCTGGCTGTCCCGGGTTCCCAGGCGACATCCGCCGCGCATCCCGGCTGCCCCAGGCCGGATACTGGAGCCGGCTGTGCTCACACTCCGTCCTGGCATGAGCATTCCTGGGAGAATGCTCGCGCCCGAGGGCACTGGCACAATTGGGCCGAGCTCTTCCTGAGCTGCTCCGGGCGAGGATGGCCTCCCGACTGAGAAAAACCGCTCCGAGGGTGCTGGAGTCCCAGTGTCTGGCGGAGCTGGCTTCTCCCGTAGCTTTATAGGCAGCTTGAAAGAGTTCTACATTTCACGTGCTTGTTTGCAATCTTTGCAGCCACTTTGAAGGGACGCTGTGGACTGCTGCTATTGAATAGTTAAGGCTGCGAGGTCGTACTGTTTGAAAAGACTGTGCCACATCAGGACTGTAAACAGTCGAAAGTCTGTTTAAGCTGTCACCACTGTACCCTGCGTGAGAAATGCACCCTCTGGATTTATTTTTCTTTCTAGGCAGTGCTTAGCTTGGCTAGAAGCACTGGGTGTCATGGTGACATTTTGACCCACAGACTGGAGTTTGTGTGAGCCTCCTTTCTCCTTCCTCATGGAGTATATTGTCACTCGATGGCATTGACTTACCAGCTTTTAAAAGTAGATTTACTAAGGAAATTGAGCAAATTTCCTACAATGAAGATGAAAAATATAACCTTAGATCCAGTGAACCAGCTGGTTTGTTTAAGCAATTATATTATGATCTGCCTCATCTTTGTTGTTTTTGTTTTATTGTTTTAGATAGAAGTCTCTCTGTATAGCTCTGGATGTTCTGGAATGCTCCGTGTAGACCAGACTGGCCTCGAACTCACAGAGATCCACCTCTGCCTCCCGAGTGCTATGTGTACCGTGCTCAGCTCATCTTATTCTTTTTAAGGAAATGGAAACAGGCTGCCTAAGCAGCGTGAGCTGGAAGATTGCCTCTGATGCCAGCCTCAGAATGCTGGCTCTGGCTGCTCTGAGTCCACACAGCTTTGGTTTTTGAATTTTTATCACCCTGTAATTATTTGGTCTGTGTTGGCTTTTGCAAAGGCTCTGACGTATTTGCAGTGGAGAGGTATGGACTTTGGAGCCATACTTGGTATATTTATTCTTTGGTGGTGTTTGTTTTCTTGAGACAGGGTCTCATTTAGCCTAGGTTGGCCTCAAATTTGCATTGTAGTGGAGGGAGATTTTAGTCTCCGGCTCTCACTTTCCAAGTGCTGGCATTATAGGTACGCACCACCACACCAAGTTTGGATGTTGTATGATGGATATATGCTTTTTGAGATAGCTTTGTAAAACAATCTTTATTGGGGGCTGGAGAGATGTCTCAGTGGTTAAGAGCACTGACTGCTCTTCCAGAGGTCCTGAGTTCAATTCCCCTAGCACCTACATGGCAGCTCACAACTGTCTGTAACTCCAGTTCCAGGGGACTTGACACCCTCACACAGACATACATACATACAGGCAAAACTCAAATGCATACAATAAATAACAATAAACAAAAACAATCTTTATTGAATGCCTCCTGTGTAGGGGATGAGTACAGCTCTCCTCTACTGATGAGAAAATGAGTTTAAAAATGCTGTTGAGAAGTTTTGGTGCTGAGATAAAAATAAAATAGAATGAGTTGACCAAGTCAAGAATATTTGACCTCTACACTGCAAGGCAGCCATTCTGAATTAGTTCGTTCTGCCTTCATATTAGGCATATAACACCCCTTACAGAAGATGGACTCGAGGCCTGAAGAGTTAAATGACTTGCTGAAAGTCGTACGGCTAGTAAGAGCAGGCTTGGAACTTGGAAATTGTGGCTCCGTATGAATCAAACTCTGTGCCTGGTCCATTTAGGTAGAACTGCATCATTGATCTAGATTCCAAGGAGCAGTCAATACTATTAAGTACCTTGTGTTACTTAAACAACATTTACATTTGGAAATAAAGATTTTAACAAGGGTCAGTTAGGTGGTTTAGTGGGTAAGTGAGCTTGCTCCAAAATCTCGATGATCTGGGCTCATACTTGGAATCCACATGAAAGTAGAAGGACGTAACTTTGTGCTGTGATCTCCATCATATACACACCCATCATAAAATAACTAAAAAAAGTAATACAATTGGGGCTTGAGAGATGGCTCAGCCCTTAAAAACATTTCCAGAGAACCTGGGTTCAATTCTTCAAGTGCACATGGCAGCTCACAACCATTTGGAGTTCTGGCCTTTGAAGGCACTAGACATACATATAAAATGCACAGACACTCATGCAGACAAAGCGCTCATACATAATATAAAAGTAATAGAAGTTTGAAGGATGAGGTAACCTTTCTTTTGTTGCTGTTTTTTTGAGCGTTTCTTTGTAGCTTTGGAGGCTGTCCTGGAACCCCCTTTGTAGACCAGGCTGGCCTCGAACTCACAGAGACCTGCCTGCCTCTGCCTCCCAAGTGCTGGGATCAAAGGTGTGTGTCACCAATGCCCGGCTGTAACCTTTTTTTCTAGGAAAAGAAAAGCAACCTGTCATGAGAGAACAGTATGTGTCATGGGCCCATGTCCAGAGGGAGCAACTGAGGATTTGAGAAAATCTCACGGAGGCTCTGCAGCAGAGCCTAGATGGAGCTGGAGAGGAATCGGGCCATGTGGACTTGTTGATCATATTATGCTTGGGTTTATCAGGGTACTGTTAATCCTTTAGTGTTGCAAGATGGGAGGACAGGGCTTTCAATACTTGGTGCCAGGTCCTAACTGTAACATAGAACTTCTCATTGTGTATGCATGTGTATATGTGTGTTCATGCTTGTGGAGACGAGAGGTCAGTGTTAGGTGTCTTCCTCTGTCACTACCCACCCCCCCTTTTTTTTTTTTTAACTTTTTGAGACAGGATTTCCTACTGAATCTGGAGCCCAATCTTGTGAAGCCCAAGCCTTTACAAGAATACATGTGTGAGCTTTCAGAAGGAAAGTTGCAATTAAGTGTTGTATCGAGAGGTTGCAGGTTAAGATATTTACCTTAATAATAATAGATAATAGAATAAGATAATAGAATCTGTCATCCATCCATCTATCTATCTATCTATCTATCTATCTATCTATCTATCTATCTATGTATCTATCTATCTATCTATCCTGTCTGTCTGTCTGTCTGTCTGTCTATTAGAGTGTCTTACAGACTGTGGTCCAGCTAGTCCAGTAATGGACTATCAAGAAGGTCCAAAAATCCAATTGTTACTTGTTCAGGAAGCAGGCTGTAATGCCAGTGAAGGAATGAACTTGCCTGAGAGATTGAGAGCAAGCAGGGAAAGAGAGAGAGCTTCCTTTTCTGTGTCCTTTATATAGGCTGTTGGCAGAAGGTGTGACCCAGATTAAAAGTACCCATCTACCTGAGTTTTAATTAATTCCAGATGTAATCAAGTTGACAATCAAGAATAGCCATCACACTCCCCCAGTAACCTTTACCTGCTAATAGCTCTTCACAGGGGTGGGGTAAGGGATGTGCGGGAGTGAGGCCTTTAATGTTTCTTTTAGGGGACATTGACAGCTGGATCTTGTGCCTGCAATCGTAGTTGCTACTGATTCATGATTTGTAGTGGTGACGCCATGTTTAGAAGACAGGGTTTCATAGCATTGTTCTTGGTTGTCCAGCTCTTATATTCTTTTTGCTCTGCCTTTAGCTATGCTCTCTGAGCCTTCGAAGGGGTGTTAGAGATGTCCCACCCATTTCTGACTAAGCACCCAACAGTCACTTGTTCTTACCACTCTGATTAGTTTATGAACTCTCAGCCTCTCTGAGTTTGAGTGGCTCTGGTCTGGGGATATAGGCGTAACCATTTAGAAGGCAGTCTGACAAAGTTTCCATTTTTTAGCTTGTATGTAGGTGCCTTATGACTACGGAGGTCAGAGAGGGTATTAGATCCTCTGGAACTAGAGTTACAGATGGCTGTGAAATGCCATGTGGATGCTTGGGAATTGAGCCCTGGTCCTCCAGAAGAGCATCTAGTGTGCATGTAACCTCTGAGCTTTCCAGTCCAACAAGATGTCTGTCCCTTTAGAAAAACAACAGTATTAGGTCCCCCCAGGGCCTATAACTTTCCCTACTTTGTTAGCATTCTCCCTATAAAAGGAGTATTATGTCTTCGTGGGAAACCTTCACAGAAATGTGATTAATTGTGCTGGAACTGTTGATTCTCAGCTGGCAAGAGGTTCCAACCAGATTTCTAAGTTAAGAGTTCCTTGTTCCTATGTCCCCATAATTTGTGCTGTATTCCATCCTGTCTCATACTGAGTTCATATTTAGTCTTTTCTTTGTAAATCAACTTTTAAAACACTTTTTTTTTGTACATTCAGTGACTAGAGGTGTTAGTTTTATGGTAATTGTAACAGTTTATTGAGCTTTTATATGCTTTAAATGCTTTTCACTTCCCCTCCCCCTCCGAGACAAGTCTCTTGAAGTCTAAGTTGACCTCCAACACTCTTTGTAGTTAAATTTGCCCTTGAACTTCTTATCCCCTGGCCTCCACCTCTGGGGTGCTGGTGTTAGGATAAAGCTCAAAGGGGGACCTTGCGTGGGGGACCATGGCTGATTCAATGGCAGTTGAGGGTGCTAAGGTGGAGGGGACAAACAGTCAGACAGACCTTAAGTGAGAAGTTTTATTAGTAGGGGTGAGGGGAGGAGAGATAAAAGAGGTAGAGAGACACAGACACAGAGGACAGAAGAGAAGAGGGAGACAGGAAGAGTGCTGTCTGCCCCAGGGAAAAGAGAGAGTGGGAAAAGACAGAGGAAAGAGCAGAAAGAGAGTGTAAGTGGGTGGGGGTCTTTCTTTAAAAGGGTCCTTTGCCACCTTCGTGCAGAATAGTACTCATGGAACCCTGGGTTGACCAGTGTACTGCCTGAGTGCATTCTGCCAGGTGACAGGGGCGGGCCACTGTAATGCCTGAGTCCTTAACAGCCGGGATGACTGGTGTGTCCTACCCCATCTTG